AAAATCTTGTTAAGAGAAAAGAGAATATTATTTGAAAATTTATTTCGAACAAATCGAAAAAATTCTTAAATAGATTTTTTTCATAAATCTGTTTGACAGATATTTCTCTTTTATTTTCTGTTTTATTCTTATCCTTAAGAAATCTCCATTTATTTCTATATGATAAGTCTATAGAATAAACTGAGATTTCTTAGTGAAATAATCGATTGAGTAGGAATTATAATTTTATAATATAGATAAATCTAATACTTAAATAGGTAAGTAATAATCGTACTCTATGAAAACAAATTTATATGATAAATGATCATTCGAAAAAAAAAATTTTTCTTCGAATATAATTTGATGATAAATATTTTTATCTAAAAACACAAAAAAAAAACATCAGATGATGACATTGAAAAAAGTTGATTTGATCATTTGATTCAACCTATGATTATATTAGCAAACGATAAAATTTATCAAAAGATGGCGCTATAGAAATAAATTCAACTTGATAAAATATCATCACTGATTTTATTTTAAAAATTAATAATCTATCTTATTGAAAATAATTTAGATAAATTTGGTTAGACTACTTGTTGTGGAATATAACAAAATCAATTGAGAATATTGAATAGGAATAAATGAAGATGATTTCATATTTGGTATATATCTACCTCCTTTCACATGTCCAAATAATGAATTTTTTTCCTCAATGACATTTTCCATTAGAAAATCAATAAAAATCAACTAAACATTTTTTCAATTAAAAAAAAATGATTTTAAAATAAAACTTACGAAAACTTTTATGAAATAAAGCCACAATTGATGATCTTGAATCTTGAGCTAGAGCATGAATATTCCATAGAAAGGATTTAATGAATTGTCGATTTAAACAATTCCATAAATTAATTTATGTTTTATGACAAACAAGAATTTGATCAGAATCAAATAAAATATATTCAACTTTATTATTTCGATAAAAATCAGCTAAACAACGTCAATATTCATAATGAAATTCTTTATTTAAATCATTTATTTTATCAATGTAATTATTAACAATATGTTCAAATAGACAACATAAATTTTTTCCATTTGAATCAGCTTATTTATAATAACATAATGCAAAGCTTGAATATGAACGATTTGTATAACCAGATGAACAACGCCAATGAGATATACCTTCGAACATAATTAAATTAAATTTTTTTTTTATTCAAAACATTTTATTCATTATTCAATGGGATATGATATATATTTTCATTTATTGATAGATCTTTCCCTTTTTTTTTTCTTCTTTTATTTAACATTTATTCTCAATTAGTTCTGAACAATTATTTATAGAAATATTTCTATAGTTAGCTCAGTCAAAAACTTGTGAGAATGATAGTTTAATATCATCTAATAATCCTGAATAAACTTTTTCTCCATATACACATCAAGAGAAAAGAATAGTCTAGTATTCTATCCTATTCTAACAACATTATCTTTAATAGAAATTTATGTCAAAGACAATTCTTAGCTGCACTAAAGTACATATTATTCATCTAACATTTAAGTAGTTTGTAGATCTTTATTGAAAGTTCACTGTAAACAACTTCTGGGATAGGTTTTCTCTCAAAAAAAAGTTAATTGAAACGATTATCAAAAAAAATCAAAAGCCGTGTAATAGACGATTTTATCTATCTTCATCCTCTCTTTCCAACAAAGAAAAGCACAATACCCTGTATTGTTTTTAACAAAAGTTATTCAAAAAAAAAATACTTATCTGCCCTCTTTTAAAACTGATCGATAGATAACCACGAAACACAGGAATAAAAGAGTTCTTATCGTTCTATTGTTATTATAATTAGATAAATAAAACTATGATAAAATCGACTATTCTTTTATCTTGAAGAGCATATTAAAAAAAAAGTTTGTTACAGCTTACTAGATGGTATTAAACTATCACTCTGACTACTTTTTGAATGTGTTAACTATAGAAATATCTCTATTTATAAAATAATTGTTTTAACTGATAGAAGTTGAAATTAGAGAATATAATAGAAATAAGATTGAAATCTAGAGAATTCTTATCAATAAAATGTCGATTTTATTTTAAAACCTAATCTTAGAGATAATTTGATTTGAATTTTCAATTAAAATAATAAAATACTAATAAATTTACTTTTATTTGTATTTGATGTAATAAAAGTCCAAATGTTTAATAAATCCATCATTTCCAGTTGTTGCTAATTCAAGTATATTTGGATGAAATCAGATTTTATTTAATATTTATTGTCGATGTGGATACATAATTGTTGTATTTAATTCAAATCTTTATTTTCGAGATAAATTAAAATTAAAATCTAAACAATAAAATCTTACTGATTATTTGTTTGATTTTATATCGAAAATCTAAGATTTCTTTCATTAAGATAATCATCTTTATTCGAATTAGATGAACATTCTTCAAAAGTGACTAACCAATTATCTAAATTATATAACAAAACAAAAAATATTTCTAGATGAAAACCTGTTGGATCAATAGCTACACGTTTAATATCTGTAAAAAGATATCGATCAGTTATATCGCTTGGTGAAATATAATTTTCTTGAACCATATTCAACTTAACAAAAAAAAAAATATAATTTTAAGTTTTAAATTTGAAAAAATCTTTTTGTGTTTGATTACATAATAAAGTAATTTTCCATAATCAATTGAGCTAAATTGAAGATAACCAGATTATCCACTATTTATAACAATTAATTTTTGACGCTTAACACTTGTGAATACCTTTAAATAAATATCATTTTAAATCATTCTTGATATGGGTAAAGACAATTTTCATAAAGATAAATATTTTTTTCTCATAAAAGTCTTATTATGAAAAAACCGAGTAAAAAAAATAGAATTATCTGAAAGAGTAGATACATAAAATGTTTGATCATTTGATGAACTAAGATGAATTATTGGTGCACCAAGTCGTGCTCGAAATGTTGGTTTACGTTTTAGATAATGCCATTTAACAAGTACACATTCATTACCACCAGATAATGAATATCAACCTTTTATATATTTTAAATTTAATGAAATTTATAAAAAGGAATAAAACGAACCATCAAATGAAAATGTTAAACAAAGAACAGGTGATGAATGTCAATGTAAATATGACATTGCTGATTCTTTATTTGTTGAATTTATAAAATAATACCTAAAAATAAAAAAGATAAATTATTTAAATACATTTAAATAAAATTTCTTTATGAGCAAAGAACAATTCGAACTGGTTGTGTTCCTCATTCAATTGATTTTTGATTTGGATGAATTTGTGCAGATGTCGTTCTATCATGATAAGATAAATTTTTTTTTCTTATTCTTATATTTTTAATTTGATTATTTAATATATTTAATAAGTATATTATTGATCCAAGAATATTTAGAAAAAGACATATTTCACCGTTTAATTATAATTCAATATAAATTAAAATAAAATAGTCTTTTATCAAATGAAATTGATTTAGGTTAACATGGAACTATATCAAATAAAATAATAGGTGAAGATTTATGACGAATTGATTCAATTCGATAAAAAGAATGTATTTAAATAATAAAAGATTTTTTTTTTTCGTTTTTCATATGAATATAATATTAAGCATTTTTATTGTATTCACCAAATAGATATAAACGTAGATTCACGATTGAATATAAATCTATTATTTCAAATTCAACTTTTATTGTCTAAATAAAATAATTTTCAAATAGTTTATTGGTGTGGGTGTGTATGTTTTTTTTTCATAATTAAACTGATATCTCATTTATCCTTTTGTTTTTTTTTTCAAACTTATTAAATCTTCTGAAAATCGATCATTGTTTATTGGAGAGACTTGTCTACATTCAAACTGATATATATATTGAATATAATAAAAAAAAAAGACGCGAATGAATTTTTAGTCGAATAGTTAAGAAAAGATTTCTCAAGGTAAATTAAAAACAAGGAATTTCTCATTCTCTAGAAATTTGTTAAAGTTCGAATTCGATCTTCTTATTTTTTGAAAAAGTCCAAATTATTTTAGCTGTTAATAATGAGAGTCATTTTATTTAATCTCAATGTCAATTTGAGAATTTAAATTTCGAAAGAATTTTTTTATCTATTTAAATATTATTCGAGACGAATGAAAATAGATACGTTGATTTATTATTATAAATAATTTTATTCGAAGATTATATTTAATAGAATATCAACCGATATAAGACTTTCATTTTTTATAATCAAATTATTTTCATATTGAGATCTATAATAAATGATAGTCTCAGATATATAGAGGGCGCTATTGAATAGAATATTATAAAATCTCTTCGAAAAATTTATAGAAATATGAAATGAAGAAGAATTTTATTGGATTTTTTTCTTATCTATAGAAATAAAAATTTAGAATAAATTCTAGAGTACGATTTTCTAGATGATTTATTTAAATAATCCTTTCGATTGATATGTTCAATAATTCGATATTTTCTATAGAATTTTATCAAAACAGTAACAAATAATCATTTTCAATGACATTTCACGTTTCTTATTTTCTTGGTCTTTTTTTTTTAGAAGTTTTTTGAAAAATAAAAGAAAAAAAAAACCAGAAAAGATCTATAGAAATCTAATGAGTCTATTTCTACTTGTTGTTATTTTTTCTTAGTAAATATTTGTGGAAGGGAATTGAAGAAAAAAATTTGTAATAATAAAAGTTTAATATGTTTTGTTTTAGTCTAAAAGTAAAGCTAATTGAGTGATTATGTTTGTCAAGAAATTTCTTTACGTTTTGTTGTAAACATGATTTTCAAGTATCGTTTTTCTTGTTTATCTCTAATTGATTGTTTAACATCATTTCTAATCGAATTAATGATACTTGTTCTATCAAAATCTTTTGTGCATTTGCTAAATTAAGTTAATAATCTAATCGACGTTTAACAGCTTCATAGATTTGTTTAAGTCTTGTCGATATTCTCTTTCTAATCCCATATTAATTATATCTTTTTGTGCTTCCGTTTATTTTCCAATAGTTGTAGCACGTTCTAACGATTCTTCATATGCATATAAAATTTTTCCAGTCATTGCTTTTGTATAATTAACAACTGATTTATATCGATCAACTTCTTGATGCCAACCACGAAAAACATTTCCAACTATTGAAGCAAGCCTAGAAAAAAAAAATATGTGTTTTTTTTTAAATTCAAATAATAATATTTACATCTGTTTACTTTTTAACAACACTAATAACATCTACAACTAAAATAAGATATTCAGTAAAATCATATAATGAAAGAATATATTCTTTACTAAAACCATAATTAAGTAAACCATAGAAAAACATATTTGATACAGTAACAACCGTTTTTTTTCGTAAAAAAACTAAAACCATGATTCAGGTACAGAATACCATCAAACTAGATTTGGTGATTGACGAAGTTTATACGGAGGATAACTAACTAAATGACGTTGAGACCGTTAATTCAAATAGGCATCTCCTTATTTCATCTATTCTCTCACTGGTTAAATTATCAATATAATGAATTTAATGTGTTTCCTAGAACAGAATATAATATTGTTCTATAGGCATTAAATATTTCTACCGGTCTATTTGTTGTATTATTCTAGATAATAATTCGCAGTAGCATTAGTAGCTCCAATGACTATCGATTCTATCTATAAACAATTGCATAGAGTTTTTTCTACTGATTTTGAAATAAATCAATAAGATAGTTTGAGAATATAGTTTACTAATAAAATTTTTTTTCATCGCCATCTCAAAGGATGGCTAATAAACAATCGTAGAAATTGTATTTCATGTTTTCCTCAACGAGGTTTCATTGAAGAAATTCTCTATATAGGCAACTATTTCATAGTATACTCCTTGTCTTTATAAGTATAATAATAGGTGTAAACTATTAGAAAATTTAATTTATCTTGATTTTCTTTTATATGAAAACAAGTCTATCCAATCGATCGATATGTTTGAAAAAAAATTCTCTTACCTTTCTTGAAATATTGAAGATGGTTGTATATGTTGATCATTAATAGTTGTTGACAGAAATGGAAAAGATTGATTTGCACATTGATTTGTAAATGTCATTTTATCCGATATTCTTCTATAACATAGTCGAAATGTGCTAAATAAAAATGTTGTTAGATATGGAAGGCAATAATTAATCAGAGAAAAAGCAATTACTTGAATGTCGCTTGTTCAGAATAATTTCACCGGTTAGTATTATTTGTTTCAAAATCATTTTCCACATGTTAAATTATTTTTTTTTAAATCGATTGTCTTATTCGATCAACTCAATTTATTCCATTGTTAGCGCAACAACAAATGATATACGTTTTATATAATGCTTCTTTATTTTTCTGTGATGTCGCTACTTTTCAGCCGCTAGTTTTTTTCTCTTCTGATAAATGATAGATCAACTTATTCTAAGAGCATATATATTATTACGGTCAATAAAACAAAAAATTATTTTAATAAACTACTGATATTTTTATATCTCGAGAATGTTTTTTGAAAATTGTCTTACGATAGGATAAGTCAATTTGATAAAACATAAACGAAAAAAAAAAAAAAGTCGAACTAAAGAGGATGAATCATATCGATAATAATATATCATGTATTTTTTCTTTTGATGACGTTGCTTGGATACTTAATCGGTCGCTGAAAAGGAGTAGTGGAAAGTAGCGTATTAGTCTATATTATATAAAAAGAAAGGTCGATTGATCAATGTTTAATTGATAAATTTTTACGGATGCAAAGTAGTGATAGTAGCTTTGTTTAATATGCGTTTTTGAGAAGAAATGAATTTTGAGATCTTGTCACGCGAACGTGAAATTAATATTTGTACAAGATATACATGAAAAGAAAATAATTGTAACATATAGAATTGATGGAAATAAAGAATATCTGAACAATAAGAGACATGATAATGAAGATGTATGTATTTTTGCCGACAAGTATTGAGACCAATTAACAAGTGTATTTACTTGATTGTCTTTGATTTTTTTTTCTCATCCTTGCTGCTCATTATATGTCTATGATCATCTCTTCGTCTTTATTGCTTTCTTTCTC